GCGGCGGGCCCGAGCCCGGGGGAGGAAACCACCACCCACCTCCCCCCCGGGACCCCCCGGGCTGTGCGGCCGGGGCGGACCCGCCTCGGCTCCCCGCCCCCGGGGCCGCGGCGAGCTCTCGGAGACGGTGTCGGTGAACGGTCCTGGATGCGCTGGAGCTGGTAGGGCCGCGCCGGAGCGGCCGGGAGGCTTCCCCGCGCCCCTCCGCCTCCGCGGAGAGGCCTCCGTGGCGCCGGGCCGGGGCGCCCGCGTCCCCCTCCCGCCCCCCCCCCGGGGGCTCCGCTGTGCCCCATTAACACCATGCGCCTCTATTGCAGATGCAGATGCGATTTGACGGACTGCTGGGCTTTCCCGGGGGGTTCGTGGATCGCCGTTACTGGTCCCTGGAGGACGGTCTGAATCGGGTGCTGGGCTTGGGTTTGGGCTGTGTGCGCCTGACGGAAGCTGACTATCTGTGCTCGCACCTGACAGAGGGGCCACATCGCGTGGTGGCACACTTCTACGCCAGGCAGCTGACCCTGGAGGAGCTGCATACCATCGAGATCAGCGCGGTGCATTCCCGAGACCACGGGCTGGAGGTGGGACATCCAGGGAGGGGGTGTGTAGAGCTCTGAGTGTTAGCCCCAGGGAAGACGAAGCTTCCCTCCTAGGTCTGCTGGGCTGCTGTCTCTCGCAGCCCAGCGGGGGAATGCACCGCATGTAGAGCTACCGACGGCGAGTGCCGCGCACCGCCGCGTAGCACCGGCGTTAGGAGGTCTGGCTGTCGGCTGGGGTTGTGTCTCGGGCTGCGGAGCGTAGCGAGCTCGAGCTCCGGCCTTTCCCGGTGACCGCCCGTGTAGGGAAGAGCCCTATTTACCCGCTCAGCCTCAGGACGCGGGTGAGGTCCGTCTCGCATCTGGTGGGCACCTGCCCCCGCCCTGGGCTGAGTAACCTGGACTGGAATCGCGACCCTCGGCGCGGTGATGTGTTGCTCCAACCCGAGTTCTCCCAGGCTTGCACGGAGGCAGTGCGGGAGGCAGCCTTCCTCCCGGGTAGCTGGGACCGGCTGACGCCCCGGGTTAGAGCGCGAGAGCTAGAGTCTCCCAGTGCGCCCACGAGGCGCTCGGCAGGTTTCGGCAGCTGCGTGAACGGAGGCAGTGGGCCCTGGGTTGTGGCGCGGTTGAGGGGGACGCGTGGGTAAGCCGTGGCGTCCCCAGGCAGGGCAGGGTGTGGAGGGGGAAGCGGGGCTCCCCATAGCGGCCTGGGGCAGCGGGATCCCCCCCAAAGGGGCAGGAGGGGGAACGGAGCCAGGGCTGGGCACAAGGGGCTGGGCAGGGAGAGCAGGGGCCTGGCGGGGCTTGGGGAGGGGCAGTGCAGGGGCTTCAGCCGGGCTGAGGGCAGGCAGGTGA